TGAGGCCCCCTAAGAGACGAGTGGAGGGAGAGGAAGAAGAAGAGCAAGGCAGGACGGCCTCAACCCCACTTGAACCGCTCACGGCCTTGAGCCAAAAACTCTCTCTCTCTCGCTTTCATCTGGCGAGTGTCTCCTGGGGTGCGATCAATCGGACGGCCTGCCTTCCCTGTAGCGAGGAAGGCTGCGTCGATGTCGAACACCATCTGTCGGAATGCCTAATCACTCAGCATCGCGAACTGAATGCTAGAGCACTGTCTATCTCATAGATCGTACCTTGTCCAGGCGTCTCTTGCTGCTCTGTCTTTCGAACCGCAAGTTTCACGAACAAGCCTCGAATCTTCCTGCTCCGCTCTGGTCATACACGGGAGATTCAAGACACCCCGCTCTCCAGCTGCTTGCACTCTCAGCACCGTGCTGCATCGTCTCTGGGGCAGCCATGCCTAGGCACCGAGGTGCGACTCGGGCGCAAGGCCCGCAAGGCTTGAGCTTCACAGAGTTCCCAACCTGTCAAAGTGTTCCCGGAGCTTGGCTGCCACGAAGGTGGAACACATGTCGCCACCTGAGGAACTCCAGGTCCATCACAGAGCCTTCAGACTTCACTGCTGATCTTTACTCTCGGCTTGCTGCCGTGGCCATCCAAGACCTCGGCGTCAAAGTTTGCTCCGAATCAGAAGAGCTCTTCCTCCAACTCCTCCAACCCTAGCCCATCTTCTGTCCCAAGTCAAAACAGAGGTCACGGCGGCGAAGAAGCCCCACTCGGGCTGCGTGATCACGACATGAGAGTCCTCACAGGTGCCACTAACTTCAAAAGTCCTGCGAGACATCTCATTCGCAGGATATGAGTATCCTCCATGTTGCTGCGCCATCCATTCATCTCGCAAGTGGCGACGCAGAACCCTTTGGACCACCGCTCTTCGACCTTTCAGCTTCTGTCGTCAACAGACCCATTGCATTATTTCGCACCGACAGGTGCTGAGCTGCCGTCTGCGGTGGACTCCACCGCCATGGGTAGCATCGCCTGGGTCAACATGGGGGATGCCTCTGCTAAGCTTCATGGCTTGTGCCATGCCAAAAAATACCTCACCACGGCTAAGGAACCGGCCCCCATTTTGGTGAAGCCGCGAGCCTCCCAAAATTTTCCAGAAACTATCAGAAACTCTCGCGCCAGAGCCTTTGCACAACCACAACATGCAAAGGAACCTGGCAGCGCGGCCGGCGTGAACGGCGTGATCAAACTCCCGTCATCAATGCCCACCTACACCTTTTTTTGTTTCCGCTGTCTCTGACGGTGTCAGCAAGCTTGCTCTTTGTGAGTTTGGCTGACGAGAAGATGGCCAGCCACAGCATTGACTTGCCCCGTTTGCAGACATGCTGAAGTTGGCTTAGAGCTTATGTGTAAACCAAAATAAGGATGAATCTTCGGTTTAAACCCATGCATCATGATGCTCCCCCATTTGAGCCAAACCTTTTCATCAAAGGATTCCGCATCAGGCCATGCAACACTCCACATTCACACGTTAAGCAACGTAAGATTCTCGGCACCTTGCCTCTGCTCTTGTTCACTACTGCTGCAGCCACGACCGACATGAGTGGATCCTGTCAAACTCAGCCAGCAGACCTACGCTCGAACAAAACCCATGCCATTGCAGGACTCCAAAGAAACACATGCCAGTGAGTCATTGCGGGCACTGGCCCCTGCAAAACCCCAGACCTGGTGCGCAGTCTCCGCTCGCACTCGCGAAAGGTGGGAGCAAATCCCCCCATCAGGCAGACAGCTCAACAACTGAAGATAGGACCATGCGGGACAGACAGCGAGGAGGCAACCTCGGCAAAAGGAGGGATGCAGGCAGCTGCACACAGTCGATATCTACCGAATGATGAACTTTCAGATTCTGTCGGGACTGCAAATCATTTCTCAGCCACTGGCTCCTCCGTCCTGTATTTTGCCTTCTCTGCCGTCACCTCTCCATCCCGCAACATCCAGATACAGTAGCCGGTCGCTTTTCAGTCCATCAGGGGCCTGCATGATCCTGGCAACGACAGGCTGCTGGCCTGAGACGGAGGCGGCTCAGAGTGCGAGAGGTTCACAGGCATTAGGGCTGAGTGGAAGGAGCCACGTCTGAACTCGTGTTCCCCTGGATTGCACACGACTTTGCACGACTGACGGTGCACAAGCCTTGAGCCAAAGTCAGGCCGAGTCGATCTTCCGGTGGGTGCAGCGTCGATCTGTGCTAATTACCATGAGATTCCTAGAGAGTTCGCACCGGCCAGGTCGAGAAATCGTGTCGGGTCAACAAGACTTTCGAGCCGCGAAACCGGCCGGCCCAGGTCCTATGGCCCTTCTGTCGCTCTTTGAAAACCTGGAACGCACACTCCAGTGACTCTAGTACTAGAAGCTCTCATCTTCCAACCGAAAAATCTCTCCCCACGTTGTGCGACTTCTTAGGGGCTGCTGAAAGACATTGACATCCGATAAAAACCTTCGAAAGCTCAATATTCCGTGGCAGGTGTGTCTGTGTGAGTCTTCATGCTGTTGTGGTACTTTCCAAATAAGTTCCGGATGTTGACGTCTGGCAAAACTATTTCGACAACGAATTCGAAAATGCTCTTCTACGTCTCTCTCGCACTGTGCGGGGCTTGGATCAAAGATCTTGGCTGTTGTCGCGCGTGCTCTGGCCTCTGCCTGGGAGGAGCCTCTAAGGAATCAAGGGAGAGTCAGGCGCTCGCGGTAAGCGTGTCTTCCTGAGCATCCTGCCCGGCGACACTGGAATCCTTCCCATTTGGTAGGCGAGCTCCGCCAAGTGCTCCGCAGGAACGGATCTTAGTCTTCCCTGCACACAGGGATCGAACATGAGAAGCTATTGCCCTCTTATCGTCCCCTAATACAATGATACTATAACTGTCAAACATACGTCAAGACCATATTGTAATTATCAAGGCCCCTACATCGCTTCATACACAGCAGATCCCAAGGCTTGCCGAGCCTCCTCGCCGTCGCTCTGCGCTACCTGGCAGATGGATGTCACGGACCACCACACCACTTGGGGACACACTGGGATCTGTGACGTGCCAGCAGTGCTTCTTGCAACGCTTGATTGAGATCCTCCAGAACGTTCGGGAGGATCTGCAGTCCATCATCATCCTTAGAGGCTTTCGTAACCCAGCTCTGCAGCTAGAAAGGAGACTGAAACGGATCGTGACCCAGAGCCTGGGAAGCTGGCTGAAAGGTTTGCGATCATCATGACCGCTTTAGCGATGTCGTGGGCCTGCAGCATCTGCCATGGCACTGACGGTTGAGACAGCTCTAGATTCTGGACGGTGACCTTGCACGCCTCGCGAATGACTTCTTCACCTCGCAATGAGATTAGGTGTGTAGGTGACGTTTACACCATGTGGAGCTGCTTGCTGAAACTCTCATGGCTTTATGAGCTTGCTGCGATCATGTGCACTGGGTGAAGGCGCCGGCATGGAAACCTTCGCTGGCAGCAACGATGCAGTCTCGGACACTTAGAGGAAGCGCATATGAGTCTGCGGCTGGCCCGGTAGCGAGAAGATGCTGCAATGGGGCTTGATGCGGAGGCTGCTGCAGGTTGTGCGGCATCTGCTTGAACCTCTGACAGTCAAAGGACAGCAGACAAAAGCAAGCTATCGAATCTGGATCGCTTGTCTGCAATTACGGCAAGACTGAGTCAGCGACTGCGCAGTGCCTCGTCAATGTCACACTATGCATACAAGGTCTCAGAAAGCGGCCAGAACCCTCCAGGAAACTAATCCAAACACACCCTGCCTTGTGGTCGGTGGGCGACCTCGTCTTGGATGGGATGCTGCCGGCGCGAATTAGGACAGGAGGCCTACCAGACGCCACTCAGTTCCAGGCCGGATAGCCCTCCTGCTGAAGACGTCGGTCCCTTGGGTCCCTTGGGTCCCTCGGGTCCCTTGGGTCCCTCGGGTCCCTTGCGCACTCGCATGCTGCGTCGAAAGAGTGTGCTGACATCCCAGTCACTCCCTTCGAATGCCACGCAGATCTGCCTCATCTGGTTGTATGGAGGGAAGGAACCTGCAGCCGCCGAAACACCTGAGACACTGGGGAAGCTCCAACTTGCCAAAGGCCGACCGGTTCAGGGTGCAGGGTGGAAGGTTTGGGGCTTAAACTTCCATGATCCGTGAACCCTCTGACCTTGTGAAGGCAGCACACCCCCGTCTCTTATCTGGGAGACATGGGCATGCCCATCGTTTCGTGTGACTTCACCCGAACTGGTATCGCGCATCCGGAACAGTTGCACAGGCTCTGCTTTGCCGTGGAGCGGATCAAAACACATCACATGACTAGCACATTCTGGGTCTGGGCCCTCTTGCCGCCGTAACCCGGATGACAAGCTCCAGCAGAACAGGATCCTCGATAAGTTGGGTGAATGCAAACGTGCGATTGTCACAGAGTCAGGGGTGCCGCGTCCCGTCCTTGGCCCTCATGCCGTTCGTGCCGCGTGTCCCGCGTATCTTGGCCGGACTTCGAAGGAGGCGGCGGTGGCGGTGGAACGTTCAGCTGAAAATTGGGCGACCTTGCTGGGAGATGTCAACACAAGAACCCTTTCACTTAGGAGAAACTAAGCAGTTGCCAGGGCCCATGCGCATTTGAGCCTGCAATCCAGGCAAGCAAAGGATCAAGCCAGGCTGTGGAGCTTTCAGTCTGAATAGCCTCGTGCAAGGTGAGGGTCGCCTGCCACGGGTCAGGACAAACACAGGAGGGTAGAGCTTGGATATTTCACTCAAGGACTAGCAAACGTGTAGATGGACTCCCACACGACTAGGCCCACAGACCGTGCCTCCCGTATTTTCTCGGCGTGGTCGCCGATTTTGACGACTGCCTTAACAGAACGCATCCTGGATGCATGCCGTATCATGCCGTGCAAGCTGACAGCTGTCAAGCAAGGAGCCACCACTCTCCGTTCTGTCCATCCTCTCGAAGTCTGCGCTTTGACCTGGCAATCTCTGGGGACTCTGGGGCTTCCACAAATGGGAAGCATGGGCACAAGCATGACAGTAGGTTGGCACAGCGGCGCATGATGGATTGATCTATTGAGCGTGAGGAGGTCTGCACAGAATGGATGATATGCGCCCTCGGCCTGTAGAAAGACTTGGCCCCTTACCATCTCCATAGTTCCGTCTCTCGCGATCATCCAAGTCTCAACAAGGGGCAGCACTCAGCCGAGCATTCATCCAACAAGAGCTGCACACAGAGCCTCTCTGAGATGCTGTGCTTCTGCCTCAGAACGTGAATGCTCGACAGCATTGCTTTTCACAAAGCTCCCTCCTCTCGCACTCAAGACTTTTGGCGGAGGCTTCTAGCTCAGCTGAGCTTGGACCATCTGAGGGGCAGGGGGCCACGAGTTTGTGAGCACTGGGGACATGGCCCATCAACTCGTCCTCGCCTGCAAAAGACGAGATCCAGATCTGGTCGAGGAACCGTCGAAGAAAATGTTCGGCCTCGTCTCTGCCGATTTCGGCCTCGAGGTCCGGTTGCAAACCCAGATTTGCACCACGGACTTGACCGCATCCCCGCGCTGCATGCGCAGACGCCGCCCGCCTTTGCCACGAGCTTTCGAGCCGCCTGCAGCTTGGAACGAAATATCTTTTCTTGGTGATTCTTGGCTGGAGCTGGACATAGCTGGACTTGAGGCACTCATCCTTAACCATGAATCGTACGAACCAAAAGGCGTGGTGGTGAGCCTCCGCTTCCTCCACCTCGTTCGGAGACATTGTCAAAGGCCATCGGCTGCACGAGCACCTGAGCCAAGCAAGGCAGTGCAGGCTCTTAGGATGCTAGAGGGTATCCGGGTGCATGGCCATGACCGCGGTGGCTTTGGCTCAAGGCTGCATAGGCCCAACCCGGACACCATGGCGAGGCCATCGATACTATACCCTTCTGGATACACGTTGTCACGTTGTAGACTTGGCTTAGGTGATTAAGTCCATTATGGGCGGCAGTCTGCAGCGGACGAAGCAAGACACGTTAACATCGCAGCGCACTCCTGCCGTTGAGCCAGTGATAGCTAGTGTGTACTGCATGGTTGGCTTGCCCTGTTCAGCCTCAACATGGACCATGAAGTGCGCAATGAAACTGGCTGGTCAGTTGGCCATAGAGTCACGAAAAGCCCGCGAATACTCATCCAGCTCGGCCTGGCACGACTCTGCACAGATGCCCCTGAATGTGCTCGTTGCAGTCGTTGCATCTCACCTTCGCAAATATGCACATCTCTATGCCGTCCGCGTTGAGAATCTTGTCCTGTGGAAGCACCCAACCGGCTGTGAAAGCCAACAAAGCCCACCCCAAGATATGCATGTGTGACAGATATAGGTGTATCTACATACACACATAAGGTAGTCATGTACTCAGAATGTCTTGCTCGAGTTTTGCCGAGTCCTGGTCACCAGGATCCAACATGCCGAAGCCCGTCTGCAAAGCCTGAACATGGTCCCCATATCTTGCCGGCACACAAGCACAGCTGAATTGGCACTGGAAGGTCGAGCAGAACGGATTTTGATCCAGCAGACACTTCAGAGGTGCAGAAACCTGACAGGCATGTCTTACGCTCGTCGAGGGCATCGTCTGAGCCCTGCGTGACTTACTTTTAAAAAGATGGTGAACCAATCCTGCTGCCTGCAGCAGGTGGCAAACGCCGGTTTGTCAGGTTGGGTCCACTGCTCGTTTTCGGCTTTCCACATCAGAACTCCTGAATTGCAATTGGCTAAAACTCTGTTCACAAGCCGGGCTGAAGTAGACTCGGTCCTCTCGACGATGGCTTCTTTGGAGGTTCTTTGCTTCAGCACGCCATTTGTCTGCGGCCTTCAAGTCAACACATGCATGATGCTGAGACAGCCATCGCGACCTGCCTTGAACACACCTTCTGGCAGGGAATTGATAAACCTCCGTGCAGATAGTGTCTAGTGTCAGGATGAGCAGGATGCAACCCTGCAGGCCACCTGCGGAAAATCCGCGTTGCTTCTTCCTTTGTGAGCTTTGCGTTGGGTGTAGGAGGTGATGGCAGCCTGCCCCATGTCCAGTTTGGATGCACCTGGTTTCGCAGAAAGGGCAACATGTGGCACATTGGAATGGGCCCCGCATCGGCCTTGCTGTGGAATCTGACAACCTCCGCTACGGCGGACCAGGAGCCACTCCGCGGCGTTATCAAACCGCTTGCAATGGCCAGGGTCTCAGCTAGCTTCCAAGGCCAGGCGAGGCTTCCAGAAGCACCCTCAAAAAACAGAGTGCAAACTGAGACACATTCCCTAGGTTCACGGCCTGCCAGACAAGTGCAGCCATGCTCAAATGCAAGGAGGCACAACCAAACACGCAGGCAAAATAAATCATCGGCGTCCTGGTGCCACCAGCCAGAAGGAATCAGCAGCAAGTCTCCGGCTTCCAGCTTTGTTTCCCACAGCGGCACACCCTGCCAACATGCTATGGGCAGCATGTGTTTCTCGGTTGTATGCCAATGCATGCCACAGATGCAACAACCGACACAAATTCACAGTCATGGACAACTAGGACCACCAGGACTCCATTGCAAACCGTCTTTCGTAGACTGTCGCTCTCTCATCAGAAACCAGTTGAACATCGTGCTCGACGACTGATGCCAGGCGAAGCCATTTTGCACCCCACGAAACTTTCCAATGCAACGCCCCCACACTGACCGGAGCATGCATGCAGCTGCCGTTTCACGCAGAACATCGCACATGGGTAATGGCCTGCGGTGCGCCCTCGAACAGGTCGACTGCGGCTTCGTAGTTCACACACTCCATCGCAGAGCCACAAGATCGAACTGCCACCTTGAGCTTCTCATCGTGGCCCTGAGGTCCGTGTGCAATCAGGCACATTTGTCTGGGCAGTACTTACGGATATCCTTATGACAGCTTCCTGCATCTGAATCGCTCCTGGTGGTATCAGTCGCACAAACTTCTCTCCACGAAGGACCAAATTCGTGCCGGTCCAGTTGTACAAGTCAACATGAAGCTTTGACCTGTGCAGTGCCACGGTCAGTGATCTCAGAGGGATGGTTTACAATGTGGGCATTGCCTGTACATATAAATGCCGTGGCACCCCGAGAGGCAGAAGACGAAGGACATGCTGGGAATTCATCTTATGGCCTTTTGTGGCTTATTTCCGCTTTATGCTTGCCGATTGAGCGTCCCTAAACATTTATGAACGCGCTGCCCCGGCCTCGAGACTTCAGTCAAAACCAGCCTCAAAAACCCACCAAGCCACACCAAAAACAAGACTAATTAGCGAGTCGGCTGCCTCCCCGGAACAGGCTAGGACAAGCGCAAGCAACACTGAAAATGCACACGCCGCGAAGGCAAGAATGGCCTGTTCAAAACGAAGCCTGCTTCCATGTTAAACTGCAAACTCAAGCACGAGTGTGGATCTATGTGGACCTGGAGTAGCGTCCTCCCCAGAGAAGGGTCGCATTGTGCGGCACGAGCTTTGCCTTCGGCTCAACTAAAATAGCCCACAACCAGGATCCGAGGAGCTAAACGCTGCACTCTCCAGTCCAGGCACCGGCATCAAAGCAAACTGGTCCTCGTTTTGGAGCACCAAAGGCATTGGAGGGCACTCGCCGATGAGCTCAGGGTGTCTGTGGAGAAAGTAGGAATCTTGTATGTAAGACCATGCATCCTCCGGACAGTCTCAGATTCCACGGACATGTCAGGCCAATGAAGGAATTGATCACGAGCTGATGAATTGCCAACCTGGCTGTTCGTGTTGATGTGGCGCAAAAACGTCTCAAGCTTGGCGGACCTCAACTGCTCTACTCCAAAATAAGAGCAGTAATATGATAATAACAGTAATAGACAAGCATACTAAAAGGAAAAAATACATGAAAAACTACTAAGAACACTTGTCACAATCACAACAATAATAATCATAATCACAAAAACAATGCGAAGAAAAAGGATAACACTAATCGATATATGAAGAACAAGAAGAAGGAGAAGGAGACTGAGGGGGCGGCATGACCCGCTCCTCTTTGTTCCCGAAGCCCACGAAGACGACGCGCTCTTTGCCGAAGGGTCGCATCAGAGCCTCCGACCGAATTTTTCACCGCTTCTTAAGCGCTCCAGTGAGGAAGTTAGAGCAAGTTGTAGGTATACTCTTATATAGTGTACTATGGTGTAGTATATAGCGTAGTATATAGTATCATATAGTACAGTACACTGTATAAAGTCTAGTATATTGTTAGAGTTTTATACAGTATCTTACACTGGACTATATTATATAACGCAGCCGCCTTCTCAACCCATCCGTCTTCCAAGCAGCTCGCGTTCTTGTATGCCCCTTGCCAGACGATGGGGATCTGGCCCTGCGTGGCAGATCATGTCAGGCTTCTTTGAATCCTGACTTTGACACCGGCTGCAGTCTGGTTCGGATCCTCATACTCCTCACGATAGGCTGCAAGAGTCAAGTTCTCAATCTTTGGCACTTCGCGAGGGCGTGTCCATGCAGAGACCTGCAGGGAGGAGACCCCTGTGCGACCCGGTAGCTGTAGCTCTTGGAAACATCTGAAACACTCGTGCGTCCTGCATGTCAGCAATACCACTCTTCACAGGATCCACGACGTGCTTGAAGTGAAGCCAATGCCTGAGAGGGAGCGATGGCAAAGGCCTCGCAACCTCGCATGCTATGGTGACTTTGTCTTATTGACACATGCCGACCAACCGTCTTGCAAGTGAGGCATGAAGCCGACAAGCCAGAAGCTGTGTATGTACAGGGCTTGGGCTTTCACATGCATAATCTGGCCGAGCCATTGCAGGCCTCCTGTGCTCCTTCCCGCTTCAAAAGGGCGAAAGATTCGAGCTCTACAGCGGCAACCGTGGTTCGAACGTCGCGGCTTCGTTTGCAGCCAGCTTTTGGATGACGTACACATGACCGCTTTGAAGCTCTTCCGGACGTGAACACCAAACCACGACTTGCTCAGCCACCTCTTGCAGGCTTGGCCAGGTGCTGTGATCAGCATCTGGCATGGCACTTCGGTTCTGCACGGTGTCAAGGATCTGGGGGGCCAAACCTATTGTTTTCGCATCCGCTGGTAACCCGGATGTTTCGTCTAGAGAGCGAACCAGATGATGGACGGCGACTTTTGCAGCCCCGTACGGCAAGCTCCAGGGAGTCGGCGATAAAGCCGCTGCAGCTCCCGGCAAAACAACGAGGCCTCCCCTGCGCAGCGTATGACAAGCCACATGTGCCGCTGCTACAGACGAGAAGAGCGAGGATTCCACCATAGCTTTGGTGGTGCTAAGAACACCCGCCTCTGCTGCAGTGCCCATTGCAAAGCCTCCAGCAACATTGACGACAGCATCCAAGTGACCTGCTGTGCCGAGCTTCTCATCTCGCCTCAACGCTGAAATTAAAAACTGACCTTGCTCCTCATGTCGGACTTTCCCGATGTCAATAGGTATCATCGCTGACGCGGGCATCGCAGGCCCAGCCAAATTGACATCGGCTCCAAAGGTCAGCCAGTTGCGCTGCACGAAGGTGTCACAAAGCTTCCGCCCAAGCTGTCCTCCTGCGCCAAGCACGAGGACCCTCTTCGCCATGTCAGCTTTGCCAAAGCACTGCTGCGGTTCTATGTTGGGGCACTTAAGCCTCAAAGCAACACAAAAAAAAACCCACTGGCATCTCCCTTCCAAAGGATCCCCCGCAGAGGTTCAGCAACCTGCGACCTGCAATGCAACTCCATGCACTATCAAGCTCTGCAAGGTAAGCAAGACGCAGGCCTTCAAGCACTGAGGCTTGCGCTCCAGGAGATCTGCATCGAAGGAAGGCGACGCAGATGCTTTGCTCTCCGGTGCCGTTCCCCAGAACCAGCTCCTCACAGCCTGCTCGTTGACGAAAACCCAGGAAATTGCAGGAACCAAGGCGACAAGCCATGCGCCCGACAAGCAGTCCATGCTGTTCCCGATGCATCTCTAGACTCTAGACCGTAAGTCTACATCAGAGAGCCCGGCCCTGTGTTTAAGAACGAATCGCGACTCCTCTCCACCTAAGGTCCTAAGCATCTCCCAACCAGTTGTTCGTCTGCTGACGCTGACGACATCTCTATCTCCTCTTCAGAAACCGAGCCACCGGCCTTTCCATGTAACTTCTGTACACTACAAGTGAAGCCAGGCAACAGGAAGCCAGCACGCCCATACAAGGCTCCAGCAGCAGCGCCGCATTCACAGCAGCAGTTTCTCTGCCCTCATGCTTGGGCTATAGACTCTGGGCATTGCAGAGAGTTGCAAGCCTTGAGCCCAAGCAGCTTCCAAGAACCGCGGAGCACAGGAAAATCCCAGGAAGGGATCGCGTTGCAGGCGCCTGGACGGTCATCTCCGGCATGTCCTTCTCGAAGGGCCCCGCCTCAGCAGAGGGCTGAGAGCGCTCTCAGCCGTGGCCGCGAGGTTTCGAGGTCCGGGCGAAGATGGAGCTGGAGATGGGCAGCAGCCGCAGGCGCGGAAGCTCGCAGCCTGCGAACCTGAGCACAAAAGATCACATTTCGCGCTGCTCCCCTGCGAGCCCTTGCCAGCTCCGTTTCACCAAAAACACACCAGGGCCGCCACTCCTTCAGAGTCGAGGCATAGGCCTGTCTCATAATCCCTTGCAATAAGCAGCCAGTCTTTTCGCGCTTCATCCCCTCATCCAGGATCTTTTTGGAGTGAGATTCTTGTTTTCGTCGAGGCTGGCTTTGGCAACTACCTGTCTCGAGGTGAGGCTGTCTTAGCCTGAGCAGCATGTTGCGTCGAGCTGCAGGAAAGTGTGTGGTGCTGTCGCAGAACCGCGTGAAAATGAAGATTGGCAGCAGAGGGCGGATTACGGGCTCCTGTCCGAAGATGTATCTCCGTCGCTGCTGCTGGCGGTTGATTGCCGCCTCAAAGCTTGTGTTGCTTCCGTGTAAGTCGAGACATGTGGTTGGGTGGCCCCCGTCAGCTGGGAGGCTGCGTGGGACGTCTGCCACGAAACCTGCAAAACTTCTGGCATTGCCTTCCTCGGCTTGCTAATCCAATGCCCGCGGGCATACCCAGTTTTTTCATCAGCACTCGAGACCAAGCGTCTCCAGGCTATGTGATCTTTTCTGATGAGAGCTCTAGCAACATCGGCACCATGTACTTCGGAGTGAAGCTTCGTGCGCCCGTTCGAGCTGTGCTTTTTGAAATCATCCATCCATTTGAGAATTTCTTGAATGCGACCTGGCAAATGAGATTCCACCTCTGCAGTGCTTCGAGCTGCTGCGACGGGACTGTCACTCTGAGTGTTTACAACGAGGATCTTCCAGTCGGCTTGGCCTTCATCAATGAGACACACTGCTCCAAGCGGCCTGCAAATGATCACATCCCCAACACCGGAAGGTGTCGGGCTGACATCAACCACATCCAAGGGGTCATCATCGCCAGGAGCATCGTGAAGTTCGTCGTGTTCGGTTGGATCACGGTATGTTTGTGGGAAGCATCCGTAGTTGAAAGGAACCGGTCTCCCGAAGGCTCGCAGCCTCCTAGATCCTTCTGTGTCCTCACAAAGAATGTTGTTCTCGAGGGTGGTCTGGAGCCTTGCAATCAACAAGCATCTTGGCTAGCTAAGAAGACTCACAACATGCACTCATGGCAAAAGCTGCAGCTTAGATGCTCGAACTTCTGCAAGGAACCCTGCGGCATCTCGTTGACGTACCGAAAGAGTCCTGTGTCCTCGAGAAGGGTGGACAGCAAATTACACAAAAGGAAAATCGCAGCGAAGTGGACAGGGTTTTCGAATCCGGCCTCATCCAACCAATCTTGCACAAACAGCTCGGTTTCATGCCAGTAAGACGTGGTCGTGTGAGGGGCGTCCCAGATCGGAACATTCTCTTGTTCTGAGGACTGCCCATCGGTGTGGCCGCTCTCCCACTGTCTCGCGGAACAGCGCCGGAGAACACCACTGGGGTTCCTGATCAATTTCGATTTGCCGAGCTTTCGCTCCATCCGCTCAGCCCGAGCCCTTGCAACTGTTTGCAGCAAGGATCTCGCCGCCACTGACACCATGGTCACACCGATCAAACAACCCAAGGATCCGAAGACGGAGCAGGAGAAGCTCTTCGGATAGTCCTGGTTGGAGCCAGCATTCGAAACTACACCTGCCAGCAGAATCTGCGTAGCGTCTCGATGAGGCGGCACAGACCCTGCGGAGAATCCCAGGCTGCCTGGAAACACCAAAAGCAAGGGAACAAGTGCCATAACAGCAGCGCACACCGTCCATGCGCCGCCACGACTAGTCACATATGCAGATGATTCTCGATCAAGCATCTGAGAAGCAGTGTTGGGTTCAGCAGTGCGAACCAAGCCAGCGGTTAGCATGCGAAGGAAAAGGATTGGAGGGTAGAGACAAAGGACGATGGCTGAGATGGGCAGCACGTAAGCGTGCAAGCTCGCGGCAAGATCGTGCCCCAGCAGAACCAGCTCCATCACCAGAACTACCAGGGCAACCGGCCGCGTCCAGAGCTCAGCTCAAGAGAACAAGAAAAGCGTTGTCATCACTCGCATCTACATCAAAATGAAATCTTGGCGACCTCGAGCCATCAAGCGGCAGTACAGAAATCCAGGTACAGTCATTCTCGCTTCCCTCCATGTGCAAAGCAGAGACAAGCGACAACTCGAACCCTGTGAAGTCTGTTCCAATCTTCTGTATGCCTCTACTCTACGCCACCACACCTCGGAGTTCGCACTCAGGTAAGCCGGTACAGTACTAGGAGAACAGATCTATGGAATGCGAGACACGGTGCAGTGGGAGTCAGGTAGCTCTTGATGACTCGCACTCTTGTCTAACTCCATTGTTCCTACATTAGGCTGAAGGTTGTTGTGAGATCAGAAAAGATCAGAGAAGGTGGACTTCGCAGCTTCACAGAAAATTAGATGCCATGTGCCCACCCTGATAATACCTTGCAGACTACAGGAACGCAGATCAAGGGCCTTCGCTAACTCATCGACTGCATCTGCCCAGATGTTGCTTCTCCTGAAAACTCTTTTGAGGTGCACAGTGCGCAGGGAAAATCACTTCGTCAACAATGTCACAATCTCACAGTGTCAGAATGCGCCAGAACGCAGATCCTTCCGCAAGGTGCAACGTCGAACACTCATGAATACACACAAGATAACGACCTTGCATCGAGCGGCCGAACAGTGTACATTACAACAGGAAATTCACAAGAAGCGATTGCATGACCGCAGGAAAAGACTGGAGTTGGGGAGTCGGGTCCCCTCCCCCGGATTGATGCTTTACCTCCATTTCGGAGGAGTGGCGCTGGTCATCGAGCAACACTAGGGATGGAGTACATTTGTGGCTGTTTCCTTGTGTGCTTGAGGCCTAGATTTCTAGAGAGGCTTCCTACTACCGAAGAGCCGGCATCGTCGTGACTTCCAACACTCCCTCTCCTGAGGGCCTTGGGCCCTTTTGCCTCAAGGTGTACCGCTTCTTTTTCAGGGCAAACGGTTTAGGGAGAGGCTTGGGCAGGATCGTTACTGCAAATACAAGCCTTTGGCGGTCCTCGATCGAAAATCGGGCCCGACCACATGGATGACATTTTTTTGGCCATTGTCATAGGAACAGAACTTGGCTTGCAATGACTCCGTGATCGCATCTTGTACGCTCTGCGGGAAGTGGCTGGATATACCGATCCATTTGTAGAGCTGACCTGATGCGCCTCCAGCACCGGAGGGTCCACTTCTTATGTAAGGCAGGCCAGCAGGATCAACGACCACCTCTCCCGCACCCGGTTCGGCTGCTGCCACTCTCAATTGGCCATGAGACAACTGGGAACCCAGAATGCCGTAAGGCACCACCCTCACTTTGGCAACGATGCGACTTCCTGAACGTGCCTTTCCCGTCTTGACGGGGAATGGTAACAAGTCGATACATTTCCCACCAGTCGCATGAACATGGGTGGCAAGCTCCTCCGCACTCCTAAACCGTGGCTCAGTCGACAAGTTCACTAGCAAAGATGATGCACACATTGCGCCGGATCGACGGTGCAGGTTCTCATCGATAGCACTCCTTGCCCCGTGACCGAACCAATGATTTCCCAGCTGCTTGTTGTTGGCACCATTCAGGAGACCGACTTTACGAACCGCGACATCTAACTCTGCCCGGCCAGACAAAGGCATCTTCTCTGCCAACTGCCGTGCCAATTCCAGCGCATCACAATTGCGGTGGAAGTGCAGAGCCGCAGCGAGAGCGGGGCTTTGCGCCACCTTGGCTGCTGCTGCCTCGATAAATACGTTGTGGTTGGAGCGGCTCTCAAGCGAACAGTCGACCAGACAGAGGTGCAGACGCATTTGGACCTTCGGTCCCGTCTCTGCTTGATCTTCCAGACACAGCAGCACAGCTGCATCGAACAAAGCACTTGCTATTCTGTAGCGCAGACCTCGCATGGCAGCAGCATCAGAATATCTGTTGTCCAGTTTGTGCAAATTTCGCAGAAATGCTCCCATTCCGAACGGGAAGAGAATCATATCCTCAATTCCCATGTGGCTAGCAGCGTGTAACACGCGATGCCACAAAAGCCCCATGTCAGAGACATAGCGATCCTCATCTAGCCAGCGATTATGCCCACGACGCCCTCTGTAGGAGGGATCTGGTGGCACGGAGTACTCAGGGAAATCATCCGCTGCCTCACTCTCTCCGATGTTGATTGCTGCGGCATGAAAAATCCAGAACCATCCAGGACCTCCGATCGGCTCTTTCAGGTCGTTCCCAAAGAACTGCACGGCCGGTGTGGCTTTAGTCAAGGGCACGAACTTGTCACTATAGTCTGCACGCACAGGGGCTGCTATGACGTCAAAGCGCCCCAGCAAGGCTTCTCTGTCACGGGACTGGGCCGCTAGCAGCTCCGGTATTGAACGCGAGCAGAATGCCTGCAACACGGGCCGGGAGACACCAATGCATCAGTTTGGGCTTCCGAACCTGGCAATGCAGGCCTTCTCCCCCCTGAAGAACCTGACTTCCGCCTGTCAAAAGCTGCTGTGATGCATTTAGCTCTGAATGATCAGCCAACGGGGAACTTGCAACAAGATCTGTCCCAGCCATCAGGGTCTGTAGCAGCGTCGGGAGCATGAAGTCGCTGCGTCCGATGGTTTCCATTGCAACTCTGGCGTAGGTGACCTCGATGGCTGGAACAAACAGGATCCCCTGCAGTCAACTCCAATCGATCCGGATAGATTTCCTGCGTGTATGCGCGGCCCACAACTATCAACACGCACGAAACTTTCCGTCTGTCATCTCACCAGAACAGAAACTTCGACCAAGAGCCGGGCCCCTTTGCGATAATTGAGCTGAGTCTTGTTCCCCAGCAACGAAAGGACCTTGCTTCACTGGAAACGTTCGCAGCGCGTCTGCATCGCAGGCAAACTTTGCACCGGAAATGCTGAATATGAGGAACAAGCTCGTTCAGCAGTGTCGTCGCGGACACCGAACCTCACCTAAGGCTTGCGAAGGGGTGAACATGTTCTAACCGAAACACCCAAGGCTGGGTCATAGACAGGGCTTAATAGCCAAAATATAGATTTGGGGCTACGGACTATAATAAGAGGGCTCCATGACTCATTCATCCCATTCCCATATTGCTCCGTGGCTGCTCCAGGCTTTGTGACGTGCTTTGTCATGGATCGGGATGTGTAAAGTTGTTCGTACAAGAACTTGGCATTTCTCGGGGCCGACTCATGCATGTCGCATATTGGGCAGTCTGCAAGGACAAAACTCGAGTTGACAAGCGGTGCCTGACAGGATTCATTCGGGCTGGAGCGATACCCACATGGAGTCTTGAGCTTCAAGAATTTCAAACGATCCAAACTTCGGCAGTTAGACCGACAACTGTATATTCTGGGATGGGCAAGTTCGTTGCAGCGGTCTCTATGTAAGGACCATTATCATACTCCACCACATTGTCATCCCCCAATGTCACCTTGAGCTTTGCGTATCTCTGCAAGCCATGTTGCGGCATCTTGCGGCCACGTGTAAAACACTTGGGAATGTCAGAACAATTCAATGGCCCACATGCAACTGAGAAGGCTCGATCCCGAAGAACTCGGGAAATCGGCAAACTCACGGCAAACTCGTCAAAGCGTGGGCCTCGCATCGCAATCCTACAAGGTGAGCGCCCTTAGTCACCCCATCCCCACAAAAGTCAGCCCACCCCAAGGTGACGCATCAATCGCTGAAACGCGTCAATCGCCGAAAGGCACACAGACCCCTAAAGGCACCCCAAGCAACTTGAATCCCCAAAGTGACGCATCTGCGGCGTGCCCCAAGACAAGGAAATGGCGCGTTGCGCAAGGCATTGCTGCAAAATTCTCTCTGTTGAGGCATCAAACATGTCTAAGTTACCAACGAGACGCCGTGTGATTTCATGGCCCTCCCAAAACAAAGCCACCCCACCACCCTCCCAACGTAGATTCCACAGGCAGCCATTGGAGACACACATCATGGCATCGCAACACATAAACAGCAGCCTCTCCCCAGGCACGCGCTCGCTTTCGCAAAGGCGTAGGACGCACATTGGTCACATTGGCAACACAGGGACAGCATCGAACAGCCAGGCAACCAATGTTCCGAACGCGAACCTATTCCGCAACTAGACGCCTCGATTGTAACTGAGACGACAAGATCCGATACATAATATGAAAATACTGTATTCACCAAGGTGACGCCATTGCGGGACGCCTTTCGCATGCATGGGACGACTTAGGGCCTGGACCCTGTAACACCGTAGCACGGACAATTTTGAAGCCAGCTCTGCGCATACTGTAAAGACGCCTATGGCCTATGGTCAAAGGTGCAAAAAAATTGGTAGTTCAACGAGGTGTCCGATGGTCACGCCGCCTCGCGTTGAAGCTTGGAAATCTTCAAGACGAGCTTCACCAACCCTTGTTGGAACCGAGAGATCAATTCTTGCAAACTTGTACCATTCCATGTTTTTGCTGATTTCGCACATCATCCATACGTACCTGCACGATTTCGGCAATTGATGAATCAAGACCATCCTGATCCATCCTGCTGGTCCTTTTCTTGCTTGACAGCCGCCCTCTCTCTGAGCGATCTCCGCAACTCCTCCCAGTCATCCTCCTCACCGCCACCATCGAGGACAAATCCAACCACCTCCAAATCGACTTGTTCTGAGAACTTCTGGCCACACTGCCGCAAGAAATATGCTCCAGCAGTTTCTCGAAGCCACACTGCCGACAGAAGATCTTCTCGGGTGAAACTTCGTGACTATCATGCAGCTACCTGAAGGATGCTCGGGACAGAACTAGCCTGCGTGGTATCAAGACCGCCATGCCTCCTACGCGGAGAGCGAAAACGAAGCTTGGACCTAGGCTGCGCAGCCCTTGGAATCTGAACCCAGTTGGCGTGGAGGAGAGCAACTACTGTACCCAAGCCTTCCCTTCATGCGGAAAGCTCACCTCCCTTTAGCTTGCAGAAGCTAAGGGGAGGTGAGCTTTACACATGGAGGGCAGGACTTGGGGACAGTAGTCGCCCATTACGGTGGCGGCTGTAGCAACCAATTCGATAATGTCACCAGAAGGATCAAAGACTGCTGCTGCCTGTGGACCTTTGATCAGTAAGCCACACTGCCTCTGCACGAAGCCAAAAATTGCAAGTCTCCTTCCGAACTTGCCAAACGACGGCGTAGTGAGGGTCAGAGCTTGTCGGTAGGCTTTCCGAAGTCAAGTCGTACCTCCAAACATCTGGCTGTAGGCATGGTTTTGGCTCGGCAGCCAATTCCTGCGAAGCTGGTCCCAAGTCATCAGGACCGGCCGCTGCGATTCTGTGAGCCAAATAAGCCGCCAACAACTTGCGAAGTCATAATTCAAGCATGACCTTGCATTTCTCATTCGATCTGTCCACCCTTCTGGCCCAGAGCATTCTTTGTGCACGGGGTCTTTCAAATTTTTTTGTAATACTGCTCGGCGAGCCGGAATGCTTCATCCTTGCCTTGACCCTCGTCGCAGTGTACGGCCAGCAGAGGCCCGTCAGGCAAGTTGAGAGTCCAGATCCGGACCATGCCGCGCAAATGGATGAAAGAGGGGCCTGAAGTATGATGAAATTATGAACAATTGAGAAAGAGAGGGGAGAAAGAGATGAGGAAATACATTGAAGATAAGACCTGAAGAAAGAAAAACAATAAGCACTGAGTGCTGCGTTTCTGTTCAACCGACTAGGGAGTCTAGGGTTTCAGTTGTACTTGTGTCCTCCCCTTGAAGCAGTTTGAACCAGCATTTTAGAATGCATGTTAGGTTCGCTCATGTGTTTGCGACAAACTGCTGCACCGGTCACGATTCAAAAACTCACTGCTTTCTTGTTGGCAAGTCGCATCGTCCTGAATAGATGGCAGTGTGCCGTCCGTGGCAAGGTCCAAACCAAGCTGCTTGGGATCAGCTTGCGTCCTCATTGACTGATGCGAAGATCAGAAATACCTTCTCGGCTGCCAGCCAGTAAGGACGCCACAGGTCTGCCTCGGATGCCTCAGCTAGAAAGACACGGCTGAGACGTGTCGCATGTCTCCAACTGCATCTCAACGAAGAGAATCAGTGATCCTGGCAGCGATCCCCAGTCAGTCACCAGGGCCCGGGCATGGAGAAGATCATGCAGCTTGATGTTACGAGGGAACCGCATCATGCTCTTGAATGTCTCCTCCTGAGCCGATCCGCTGCCAACCAAGGACAGCTCACACAATTCTACAAGACTCGTGTCTTCAGACTCCGCCTTGCAGATGTGGGCTGCGCCAGCCAATCTACACAAACCCTTCTAAGAATTAGATCCGAGCGGCCACATGCCGAACCTCCGGCAGGTGGGGATCCTGAGTGGAAGTGGCATTCTTACCACGAGGTCTTGCACACCGGACCTGGGAACCGGACGACTGCGCAGGCGAAGGTCAAGGCAGAACGCATCAGCTCATGATCTGCCACCTGACAGCCGTGGGAGGTCCTAGGGTCCTAGGGCTTTGAGGAAAAGCGTGGAAAAGCGCTCAAGAGGCTTCATCTCTTCGCCAGACCTCTCCTTCCAGCGATGCCGACAACACGCCAGCCGCTAGTCTTTCTCCCAGCTGTTCAAACTCCTGCAAGATGGCACACAGAGCTGCGAAGGAGCAGAAGGTCCAGTCTGGCAATTGAGAAGGCTGTCCTTGGATGAATGTTTCCGCAGCTCTGAGGAGGAGTCCAGTGTGTCTCGGTTTTTCTTGAGCCAACTCAACACTTCCTTTAACTCCTTATCTGCCGTACTGCCCGTCCAAGAGCGGAGGGTTGCAGTCTGTTCGCCAAGAACGCCTCAGCCATCTGCAACGCTTCGTTCAGCAGCGTGCGATCTGGCTCTGCTGCCAGAGCTTGGAGAACCTTGCTGATGCCATCAAGATCCAGATCAGGCAAGCCAGACTGTCTCCAAAGAGATACATTGCGCTTTGCCCATAAAGGTCCAAGGGCTGTCAGGTTCAAGTTTAACCGGGCGATCAGCCTCCTCGACCTGGGAGAGACGCTTCCAGCTGCTCCGCTTGTAGAAACCGTGGGGTTCGGGTTCTCTTCGCCCTTCTCCTCCGCCGCGTCAGTTAGTCCCTTGCTGGCAGCAAAGACTTCAAGGAAAACCGTTGCGCTGCCTAGACCACGAGCAATCTGTGCTCCGATGGAGTCCAGAGTCAGCATTGCCTTTCCGATGACATGATGCCCTCGAAGAGATTGCATAGCCTTGGGCAGACATATCTCGATGTCAACTCCCTGCCCTTCGCAAAGTTCAAATTGCCAAACCTCGTGCTTTGTCTTGTTGTCGAAGCTCAGATGACTCTTCAACCCGAGGCCTTCGCTCGACTGGAAGTATCGCTTCCTCGTAAGGCTATCAGAAAACAAGAGGAAGGGCCGAATGGTGGATGCATCATGGAACCATCCAGAAAACGATGGGTCATCCTCTAGGTCTAGCCTGATGCTGTCCACACAAACCTGATACCGATCGGCCAGAGCGCTGGTGCGGACTGGCAAAGGACACATCGTGCCATACAACCACTGCACAAACTCCTCATACTCGATTCTCCCGTTGCCAGAGGTGTCTATGGAGTTGAAAATACTTTGCCTGTCTTTCCCTGCAACGCCAATGTGATCCAGGATGTTAGAAAGTTCACTTTTGGAGATTGACCCGTTGCCATTCGCATCCCACTTCTTGAAGGTGGCCAAGATTTTGTCCATGTCCTCTCGCTGATACGAAACTTTCCCAGTGTTCTCCATGGCCATCACACGAGTTGCGGTCCAAACGCCGCTCTGCTCTCTCGCTTTAAGAAGCTATGTAGCAGCTTAGCTTGGCCTGAATGCAGATTCTCTGGTCTCTTCTCTATCTTTCCTCTCACAGTGTGCACAACTTTGCTCACAAGTTCATCCCGGGATGGTGGGCCCTTCGAGCCGGGAGGTGCACGCAAGGCTGGAAGCGAGCGGCCCAATCAACTTGAACAAACATGGCCCAAAGCGCGCTTGTGCCAGAAAATAACTGGTGCTCGCGACTCTCTTTTCTGCAAAGCGACCCCACCAGATCGGCGCGGTCAGGACGGCAGCCCGAGCCTCGATAGCATGGTGTCGCCTAGGGTACTAGAGTAGAGTAGAGTCTTGTAATTGTATGGTATGGTATAGCACAGTAATTAAATCCCGTATAGTGTTGTATCTTTCGGTACCGTACTCTCTATCATGGTTGAGGTCTTTCAGAAAGAAGGCAATTCCCACGAGGGTTCAACGGCACTGAGTTTCAGGCATACCCCTCCGCAAGCGCTCACAGCGCCAATGAAGTCGCACCAGTGTTTCAGGCTCGAAGCCTGCAGCACTGCTTGATTCACAAACAAGACCACGTTGAAAGGCACCGAGGCGTCAAGATGCCGGCAGGGAAGTATATTAGGGACCGTGCGAGCACAGCCTTCTTGGGCCCAATATCGCAACACTCGCAGGGATTCGCGACCTTCACACCGTTGAGTGTACAAGTGTGTCCGGTGCTCACTCGGGCCTTGCCTACGTCGGCCCATAACACATCGTTGCTGCTCATGGGTGCACTGAGATCCTGCTCGCATGGCATAAGTGCTGCGACAGCAACAACGCTGAACCTACCCGGCAACTGAAAAGGCTTTGGACTGTTCTGTAGAACTTTTAACCGCAACGATGATCCTGGCCGGAACAGGGAAAGCCGCTGATTTGCGAAGTCCTGCCCTTTGGCTTGCAGGATTGCAGCAATTTTGCTTGGCTGCAAAGCTCTGTGCCCAGGCCCTGATCTCCTCCAGGGATCTGTGCAGCCAGCGAGCCGCCCTCGGAGCCGGCAGATGCGCACTTTCCTAGCGGGCTCAGATGAGCTCAGGGCGGATTCATCGGCGCCAGCTGGATGGCCTGTCAAACGGCGACGGATCGTGGTTACGCTGCAGGTGCTACTCAGCCACTCGTAGTGCACCTCGACAGCTCCACGCTTGTAGGGCGAGGATGCGTGTCCGAGAAGTGCTGGACCTGAGTGCAGATTGCACAGCCCGGTCGGGTGGACTGCAACGAAGAATTTTCAGCAAGAAACCCAGAAGATAACCGCAGGCAATTGTGACAGCCCGCGCCTCCAAAAGGTGCAAGAAAAAACGAACGACCCTTCTTTCGGAGATAACGAGGAGGGTGGCCTCCTCACCGCCACAATGCTGCCAGCATGCTAGTGCACCGCACCAGTCGTGCACCTCTCATCACATCTACGTGCAAAAAAAGCTTCCGGATAGAAGGAGCCAGTCTAGAGGCCTGCTCGCAAGCAAGAGCTCTGGCATGCCAAAGCCTCCGGCGCTCTGTCTTCAGGTCATCTTCGACGTTCATGCTTCTGAAAGACGAGGCAAAGTCGCCCAGGGCCCACACCAGGCAAGTGGTAGGCTTTGCCAGCACGGCTGCACCTTGTTCTGCAACAGAACGGTGTTGGTGTGCGTGTGTGTGTGTGTGTTTGTTTTTGTGATTTTGTTTGTTTTTGTTCTGTGAACGCTGATCTTGCCTCCCCGCCGAAGTCCCACTGGCATGCCTGTCCAATGATTCTGCCGTTAACAGAACTTGCAACGTTATCAAACCCACCTTTGCTTGGCTTATCAGCAATCGCCTGACCTTGTGCTGGCAGACAATCATGCATGGCATCAGCTGGAAGAACACTGTCAACAATACAGGAAGTCGGAAGCCCCCTGCCATCGCAGCACGTGCTCGATGATCGCTGACAAAATGAGCAACGTAAACTGCCTGAGGTGCACTCTGAACCCTGGAGTTTGCAGCCACCGCGCGCTGTGCACAGGACAGGAAGCCCGAAGAGCGAGAAATAAGATCAGCACCCATTCATCTTTGCTTTGCTGTTCAAGCAGCTGTGAGTACCTGAGCTGCAGTGACATCACAGATGCTACGGATCAAACTGAAACGGCCAGGGGCGGCACTGTTGTGTCAAGCGTTGGAAAGCATGTCCGCCCTCATGTGCTGTGCCGTCTTGGCCTCATGCATCTACAGCGAATCTACTAGTGCCCGAGAGTCTCTTTCCCTGCTGCTGCTTGATGCATGATTCACCGAGATCAGACATGCTTAGCAGCCAACCCAGCAACGCTAACAACACGACCTGGAGACCGAGATCGGCTGAAAAAAGGCTGGCCGTGCATCATCAACTCGGAGTCCAGCCACAAAGTGCCACGACAGCGCAACATCCTGTGGGTTCTTCCTCAGACATGTGGCAGCAACGAGGACGAAAAACTCTGCAGGAGGCCATTTCAACCCACCAAAGGCTTGGCTCAAGGCGAATGCGTCATGTAGTCAAAATGGCTCATGTCGCAGTCGGCATCAAGGCAGCCAGCCAATTGAATAGCTCGGAACCTCTCTGCATCGCGATAAAGCGCAATCATCTCTGTGACAGTCGCAGGATACCAATTAAGAGCCCCGAGGGCGCAGCTGTAGGGACATGGGTTCCTCTTGGCCAGCCGCAAAACGATGCTCCGACTCACCACGCGACATCCTGTCAGGAACAAGGAAGCAAAACCGCAAGCCATGGAGCGTTTTTTGGGCGGCCCTATGCAGCTCTCACAATGTACATTCTGTGAGTAGATTGAAAAGGAGTTGGCTGTGAGGAGTGTCTTGCACGTTGGCAGCCTCACTAGGTTACTCCAAAAGAAGCCACTCCATACATGTGCAAACATGCCGGCCTTTGCTCACCTTCCAGGGCATAAGCTGGCACCTTACTAGTGCCCACTAGTGACCTTCCCTGAGTTGCCAAACTTCAAGAAGCGAAGGAGCTCAATTCTGTAGCTCCGAGCAGGCGACTGGACGGATTCTGGAGGAGCTAACTTGCTTCACCTCAAGCTTTCACGACAAGACAGCTCGAAACTAAGCGACACCGACACGATGCATTCAGGCCCAGACCATTGCGCTGAGGAAGGATTGGACAACGCGCTCCAAGGCATGTTCGCAGGTGCCTCTTGAAACGGGCTGAAGACACGTCGGACAAGAGCTCGTTCCAGCAAACCCACGCAACTGCGAGATTTGCTGCCAGGATGCCCACGTCCATACAAGTTTCCTTCAAAAGCTCACCATGGAAGAAACTGAATCCCAAGGAGTGATTTTGCCGAAGTCCTCGTCTGACTGGCCATACCATAGGAAAATCCCGAAGGCAGTGCGCCAGTCCAGCGCGTCGCAAGCCACCTGTCTGCTAATTCCACACATAGAACGTAACATAACTTCGCTGCCTACGTAGCTACCTTATTATAACAAAACCATCTTACACAAGGCTGATTTCCAATGGTTCGCAATTCAGCTCTGCTGTTCTGCCTCCATGTCACCGGCAAGTAGGCTGTATAGACGCCACAAGTCTGGACCCATCAGCTCAGGCCTTGGTAGAGCTCGTCACTGACATCCCTGCTCATTCTGCTCGCGCTATATATCGGACGATGTAAGGACGGCACACTCTTTGCCGCCTCCATTCTTCAACTTGCTTCCTGAAGTGCTTCCAGTGCGACTAGAGGGCTGCTCGAGATTGGCAAGTGTCGCACCGCAGCCAGCGACGCTGCTCGCGACCCGGAACTGCAGAACCACCACAAGCTGCCAGGACCTGAGGCTAACTAAACCCGAGGAAGAGCAATGGATATCAAGTCTTCCAAGGAATGCTGCAGGGAAGACACGCCAGGACAGTGAAACTACGAGTTTTGAGCAGCCTGTCCATCCTTTCTCATCAAAAGTAAGACCCCGGAAACTGGGCCTGAACGGAACATAGGTAGAATCTGTGACCCTAAGGTATCCCTAAGAGAAGTCAAGAGCAGGAAATCCCAAAACTCCAGGTGAAGGGAGCAAGCTCCGCAGTTTGAAAGGAGTGCGGCACTTGTTTTATCAAAACAAAAACCTCAGGGCCTGACCGCTGCCAATCGGTCGAAGTAGGGGCCTCGCTCACAAGCTTTTCAGAACTTCCAGAGCGGAGGGTCTCCGAGCCTGCTCCAGTTCCCTGTAGCGCACGCAGGGCTTGTCGCGGAGAGTTGGCCGTCAGATGATGAAATGCAGCCTCCACGAATCACGCATCTGCATCAAGCCCACCGATGTTGAGACTCAGTCGGGCACCTCCATGCCACGAGGATTAGCACAAGTCTCACCAGAAAGCAGCCTGGGACATTGGCAGTCACCGTCGAGTAAGCAGGATTTAAGTTGAAGTATCGCTGACCTCATTGTCCGCCCCATCGCGGCCGACCTTTGTGCAAGATGCTGCACTGCCAGTGAGTACGTTGAAGGAAGCTTAGGGACAAACTTTTGCAAATGACTGGCAACCGTCCTCCTGCGCTCCAGTGCAACCACAAAAAGCTCTTGCAATCCACTGAACTTGCTTACGCAGGATTCTACGCACCCATGAGCGGAAATGGCAAGCAAACGACCTGTTGACCCGCGCAAGCCAGGCGCTCAGCTTGTGCAAAACCTGACAGCGCAAGCCGGCTTAACTCGGAGCGCGATGATGAGCCAGCTGGACAGGTTGCGGTCTGCGATGACAGCTCTGCTAAGCTCCGAGCCTCCCTCTTGCCTCTGGCACAGGTGCGTTTTGGAGCATTGTTTGAAAAGCCATTGCCATACCTTGCATGATCTGCTGGCCTGTGCAATCGAAGAGGGCTCTGAGAAGTTCGAAATCCTCGCTTGCGGTGCGCAGCAGAGCGCAGTCCGGTGCTGGGCCCGATTCATTGCCAAGCACACCACATCAGCACCATCCGTGCCGAAACAATGCTTCGCAAGCTTCAGATACTTGTCGAGTAAAACCTGCTCACTGCTATAGTCAGCCTCCAGAAAGCTCGACTCGACGCTTGATTTTTTGGTGCCTTCGAATCAGCACTGGAAGGCCGTAACATCGGTGGAGCACCTTCCGCGGACTCATCGCAGAATCGATGCTTCCGGGACACAGCCGTCTCCCTCCCTCCCACCGCCTAAAGGTGCAGAAGACGATGACCTGGATTGAGCAGACGGAAGTGAATACGTAGCAGACGTAGCAGGGGCATGCAATAACATCAGTGAGACGGCCTACGTCTGCGTGTGTGGCCTTAGATGCCTTAGCTCCCGGCGATGACAGTCCAGAATGCACCTGGGCCTCGAGGAGTTCCTTCAGAGCTTGGGGAAGATCTCGTTTTCAAGGCGGCTAGCGGCCATTCGCGGCTAGCGCGTGTGCCTCACCCACTGGGATCCGCGAGTCTCCCTCTGTGGAGTCCTGTTGGGCTCCGAGGCGCGAAATGGGGAAGTCTGAAAACGACCCGGGAAGCGCCTCGTCGGCATCTCCCTCTTTGCTTTGCACCAAACCTCATCTCAAGTCTTGACACGACTGAAGACTTCAAGATTGCCTCAGTCGCTCACGCACTAGTCGAATCTGACATCGGCCATCAGCACCGGCCTCGCGTCGCAAATAATCGACAATGACGATGTGAATCCAGGTCGGACTTCGCAACAATGAACAAGACCAAGTCTGAATTCGCAGCGAAGCACAACCAAGAACAGTCGAAGGTTGTCATTGTCAGAACTTGTACGAGCACAGGTTCCGCCCAACAATTCTACCAGCGCAGATGAAGCTAGGTGTTGAAGCTGTTGGATTGCATATGGTCTACTTCCTTTGGCAGAGCTGTGAAACACTCCAAGCTTGGCTACACTGGGGAATTGTGCTCCAGGGGGCTACCATGGACTTGGCACAGTGCACAAAGCTCCCAACGAAAGGCATTGCCAGCAAGCCCGCGCGTGCACAGGAACGCGAGGAACCTGCCACATGGAAAGCAATGGTGATTTCCAGCAAAAAGTACCGTGCACCCTTCTTTGCCTAATAACCACGACATCTGCATGACCTGGCCTAGCGGCGCAGAGTCGGACACCGCCTCGCATATAAAATGCACAAACGCGACTACACTTTTGCACTCGAAGTTGGCTGGCCGTCCTTCGTAGTAGTTGCCACCTCCACCTTCCCAGCTGACTCATCGAGCAGGCGCGAAGCCGATCTTGATATAATTTCACTTAATTATGTAGCATCATAACGTCCATGCGAGATCTGAATGCGAAGTCCCTCTGGTATCTTTTCTGCTCATGCATGCACGCACGCACACACGCACACACAGCGGCGAGCACATAGCTATGTGTCTGTACAAGCGTTCTGTCTGCATGCAGCATGTATGCATGCGCATGGCCACGTAAGCCGGAGGTACGTAGGTGGACAGGCAGGTCATCGCTGGTGGATAAATACAAGCGGTCTTTCGGCATCTGAATGTATCTATATACATGCCTGCCAGCAAACACGAATCCTTCGCGCAAACCACGGAACCGAAGTTGGTTCGTCATGGTTCATGCAACCGAGTATGTTGACCCCTTCGGTATCAAAAAGCTCGAACCCGCAATTCGAGCAATTCGAGCAACAGAACGACTGCATCGCAATCAGACCAGCAGTAAACCGCGATTATGCCCAGGACCTTGTCCTGCTTGGCTGCGGCATCACGTTTAGCAAGCCTTGGTCGCGGTCGCACGGTCTGAGTAAACTGCAAATAACACAAAAGTGAAGCCTGGGCTGCAGCAGGGGCGGGACAGTGTTCTCGCTCTCCTGCACCGAGAAAACGAACAAGACCGTATCATCTTGGCACCGCATGCAGTACGTCGTCCTCGGACAGATCCAACGCGGCCTTAGGTATTGTCGACTGAAGCATAGGATTCTGATACAACAATGCCAATGACCGTTGACGAGAGTGCACTGACGAACCGACGGATACATGCGCCAGTCGTGAAGCATCGGAGGCGCGCCACAACCTGAGCAAGACCACTGTCAGAGCAACAAGTAATCTATCCACTATTGCCTCAGGCAGCCGCAACTCCGATGCTTTCGACAGCGTGACATTGCTAAGACCCTCACACAGAAAGCAAGTTCAAGCACGCAAAGCATCAAGCACAATTCAAAACCATTGCACGCAGGTCCTTGAGCTTCACATCGCCGGCAAATGGCAATGGCAAGTTCGCTCGCGCTTCGCCATGGAGGTCCTCTTCGCAGCAACATCGTTCCGACGTGAGGTCATTGGCAAGTCTGGGATGAAAGAAACACCATGCCTCGTCCCAACCTGAAACCAAGCCATAAGACATGTCTGTCCGGTCAAATGAAATTTCGGTGTCACGTCATTCAATGCTGCTAGGTTCGCCTTCGTCTTACATAAAGCACAACATGCCTCAAAACAATGCAACCCTGTTTGTGTGATAAAGAAATAGCTCATAGATGCACTTATTTGGGCCAGCACACATGGCCCATCATGGTTGCAGCCACAAAGTGCAACACCACACGGAAGCCTACGAATGTCAAATCGAAAGGTCGTTCCAAAAAAAACATGGTCGGGTTTAACAAATTCCCGAATGTAATTTCAATGATTTTTCTGCGAAGGCTGAACACCAAGATGAAAACAGAGATGGCGAGTGAAACTTCGAACGTAAAGACTAAGAAGATGAAAAAAAAGACCAAAATTAAAAAATGAAGATGTTGAAAATGATTGCGAATGATAAGAGGATATTGATGAAGACGATGTCACGGTGCTCCACAGAGGCGTGACCGTGCAGTCACTCACACGTTTACACAGACGGCAACAGCAGTACAGAGCACCAAAAGTGCCAACAAGCAACCGAGGCGACACAGGAAGAGGCGGGAAGAGGATTGCAGCAAATTGGCTTCTTGAAAAAAACACCAAGTCCAGAATGTTCCAGGCAACATCTTCATCTTCAAAGCCACACGCTGTCTTGGCATTTGGTAAGAGTCGCTGCTGTGAGAACGAAACCAGTTCATTTCTTTTTTTTGCATTTGGCCTTGAAGCAGCAAATCGTTGTCAGCACTGAACTTCAGAGAGTGGAGTGGATCCAAGTGGCACCATCAGTTCGGTCAGTTGGACACCAGCAATCAAAATCCCAGATCGCCAAGGCAATCATCTGACCAGTCTGGCTGAATCGAGGCATCACCACGACCCGAGACTGTAAGCCAAAATCACACTCAAGCTGACGGTGATTTTGACCTTCTGGCAACCTAAAATGAGCAGAAACTTCTTCGAAGGTACAAACCTTCTTTATTAAGGTCTGGGATGCAGCCCAATATCCGCACCACGCAATGGTTGTTGAAATCCAAAGAGAGTCAGAGAAGTGTTTAGAAACCCAAACTTGCCCACCGAAGGATGAGCCACCTGTTTGAGACTTTGCGACTTCTTACAAATGCGCAAAGGTCTGCGTTGGCTGGGCATCGACACTACTAGCAGCGAACCACGGCGCGATCTGCCCACAAGAGTCAAGATGAAGTGTCAGAACTCTAGTTGAAATCAAAATCTTTTTTACGACAGCGGTGTGGTACCTACGCACCACAGGTGCACCACACGGGGAAAAGCAAAAACGACAGCGAACTGCACATGCAACGCAGCGAAGAACACAGCACAAACAAGTGAATTGGCCGGCTTGAAAGGTAGAAGGGGTCTGGGAAGCAGTTGAAAGCTCAGGGTTTCGCGAAGCGCTTTAGTGTCTGCATGTGTGTCCACAACATCCCAGCATGACGTAGACTTCACCGGAACAGGTTGGTCCAACACTGTCCTTGCTACTGGTATTGTTGACGTGTTCAGAAAGAAGCTAGTTTCAGTTTGTTTGTGTTTCAACATTTTAGACATGTAAAACATGTGTTAGTTTTTGCGGCTTCAAAAGGTTTCTGCTGAAGACATCAAGCAGAGCCAAAATTTCTGTGCGCATGACACGCGAAACAGAAAGAGACAAAACAAAGGAAAAAATTGAGAAAAGGCACAAAAAGGAATGGTGAAAATAGAAAAAGAACTGTTTCCTGCTCCTCCAAGGCTTTTGTCTACAAGAAGACTTCCAGAACCGGCTTCTACCAAGTTCTTCGTGTTTCTTTCTGCATCGAGAGAGGAAGCCACAACATGGAAGATTGCAACATTGTCCAAAGTGGGAGGTATTGCAAGTCATGTCCACACTTCTGCAAAAGAAAAGCCAAAGTCTTGTTGAAAGGTGCACTGTATGGTTTGAAGCTGCATTTTCTGGAACAGACAAAAGCCATGGCTTGTTCAACTGCAAACACAAACAGGAAGTCGTGAACAGATGTTCATTGGCTCCCAAAGCCACGCTAGAAAACAGCACGCTTCCTGCGGAGGCATCTCAAGCTGACGAGCCATTCAGCCAAGCCTTCCAAGCAACTTCAATGAAGTTAGAAGTTTTTGCAAGGTTGAGACACGTTTGCGTTCAGTCCATTGCTTCCGATCTTCAAATGTTTGCGTTCTCTCGGAAAAAAAGACACCAAGATCTGGCCAAACATGTGTGTTTTCTGTCTGCTGTCTGTCTATCGGTAGGTCTGTCTGTCAATCTCTGTGTCTGTGTGTCTGTGTGTCTGTGTGTGTGTCTGTCTCTCTATCTGTTTGTCTGTCTGTCTCTGTTTCTACCTATCTATTTGCTTCTCTCTCGCCTGTGTGTCTGTCTTTCTGTCCATGTGTGTCTGTCTTTGTCTGTGTCTCTGTTTGTCTGTTTTTGTCTGTGTCTGTCTGTCTGCTGCTCTGTTTGCTGTTTGTCTGTCCAGCGCCCGCGAGCCACGCGGCTGCTTTGTCTTTCACAAGGAGCGTGCTTCGCACCTTTTCGGCGGGCCGCCTTCAAGTGTTGCTTCGACTGTAAGCAGTGCTGCCAAAATTGTGCGCGAAATGCTGTGATGCAGACGTGCATGGGCGTGCAACGGGCGCACCAGCCACACCTAGCTCTGAACTTCTTAGTGTATGAAAGGGACCGAAAGCCATAATGCGTAACAAACGGAAGACCAATTGCAGTTTCTGACCTGCGGCCCATAAACTTGCATTCGTGCTCGGTGCAGGCGCGCCTCTGCTACAAACAGTTCCTTTGCGCTTTATCAGAGTTTGCTACAAGGCCGCAACAGTAAAAAACACATGTCAGTGGTTTTCGGTGGTGGTCCATCACAACCGAGGTGCTCCATAATCTTTGGCTAGCGAGGCAGCCTGGTTCCAGTTGGATGGAAGGTGTGCGCAGATGTGCGTAGTGCATCGGTTGGTAATGACAATTATTGTAGAACCGAGACACGCCGTAGGTTTCAGCGATGGCCGGGACATCAAGAAGTGTATGCTGCGAACAAACGAATACCCACCGTGCATGCAGACATGTCATCGACCATGCGTGAACATGACACAAAAATCAAGCTTCGAAGGATTAGTCTGATGTTTTTATGAGGTGTGTTTCCTGCCTGGTTTGGTTGGTGAAGTGCTGTTGCGTGCTGAATGCAAAACTTATATGTAGCTAGTTGTTGCAATGCTGAGTGAAAAACCAGCGCTGTGGTTCGGCGCATGTAGCACGTCTTGACCGGACATGACGCTCACAACGCACGTCCATTTGCACACCAAGATGGCTTCAACACTATGAGTCAATGTGGGACGTACAAAACAACATCTCTTGGTTGCAACACGTCGCTTCCAAGATGTCGACACCGTCTCCTGTGAATATTTATGTGCGGTCGCAAAAAAGGTGTGCAACCAACTAACTTGCAAGATAGCGGCTGTTTGCGATTTTTTCCCCCTTTGTGGTTGTCGCCCCGCATGCCGTTAAGTTGGCCATTGGCACTGTTCGCCCATTTTGACATTGTTTCCAGGTTCACGACCAAAGAAAACACCGATGCTGGGAGCGCAGTTCTCAACATCTAGGTTTTGTTATTGTTTTTCTTGGCGTATGACGGTATATACACATGCGGGCAATACGCGGGGTCGGGCAGCAGAGCAATTGATTGTCGGCAGGCAGCTTGATACGGCGCCAAACCCATGCCATCTGAAGATGCGAAAAGCTCGCAGGCACTGCGAGGCCGTGACGAACCTCGCGCGATCCAAGCAATCCAAAGTTTGTGCAAAACTAGCAAAACCCGCTACGTGTTTTTCCTTTCACGTGTGTTTTGTTACTTAGTTTAGCTCTGCACTGTTATGCTCCGCACCGTCTTAGCGACTGGCTCAGCTTCATGTCGTGAACATAGCTTTTGAAGCATGGCATGGCATGTGCAGACTGGAGCAAGGCACACTTTCCGTTCAGCTGTAGCTTGGCAGACACCACGGCCCGTCTTGGTTGGCTGGCACACCGGCACGCATTGCTTGGTAAATGGCTTCAGCTGCTTCTGATCCCATCGAGGATTGTTCCAGCACTGCACAGCAACCTTCTCAAGAAACTCAAATTCCAGCACAGCTTGACATGCACGGTTCTCAAATAGAGCACCTGCATGCGCAGATCGCAAATCTTGAGGCACGCATAGCCAAACTAGAAGAAGACAAACAGTGGGCACTGCAACGCCTTCTGCCTTTGCACCCCGCATGGCATCATTTGTGCAATCCGTTTTGCTTCATTGTGCAACGCATTGCAGCCTTGGAGACGTTAGCCTGTAGCAACCTTAACGCACTGCAAGCTTTTGCTAATAGGCCCGATCCTTTTGCACCCGCAAGCACAATACCAGTTGATTAGCCCAGCGCCGCATGCTCTGACGGAAAAAGGAGTGAGCGATCGCACTGCTTTGCTGTGAGCTGTAGACAGCCGCTAAGGAAACTAAGTCTGCAGAACGTGCTGAACCGCATTTGTTGCATTGACGACCTGCGTGGCGCCTGACCGTCGTCGCGCCGCGAGACGACGACGTCCCACAAGCCTCCACGTACTTCCCAGGTTCCCATATTTTTCCATCACTTCCCCCGGACCTCCATGTATCATCATGTATCCGGCAAAGCTACTGCGGAACTCACCCGCAGACTGGGCTTGGCAACCGCTGACTTTCATGCCTTATGCCGGGTGTGGAAACACGCAGTGCTGGACACAACAAAGAAAGGCCAGATCTTTTCAGCATGCGTCATTTCCAAGCTGATGTACTTTCTACGCACTTGTTGGTTTGGAAAGGCCGACATTTGCAAACTGGATGCTTTCCAAGCTGGTGTCTCAGTCAGATTCTACGCATCCCACCCTCATTTGTGAGTCGTGTTACAAACGAACATGTTCTGCGACAGGCGAACTGTGCTAAATTATCCCGCGTTCTGCAACAACGACAGCTGCAACTTCTGGGGCGTATTGCACAGCTCCCGTCAGAGGATGTC